ATCAGTTCATGTGTGTAAGGCCAGCGGTAAGTCGTGTGATTGATAGCTCTGTAATTCTGGCTGTAATTGTCTGTCAATGAAAAATGTGATATATTAAGAGCAACAACATATATATATATATTCAATATCTAGTTCTGTTATGAATTCTGATGTTCTTTGTACCTGAGTATTAGTTACGGATGTTGTATGACGCCATGATATTTTATTTTTGTTTATTTGCAAGTGGAGTTCAGAAGGGGAGAATGTAACAGAGTTGTACATATATATAGTGTGTCTCCACTTGCTAAGAAGGTTAAATAATCACACTGGAGGATGATTGGACAGTGTAAACTCTAGTATGTAGACTCCCTTAAATTCAGAAGCAAAAATTGTTAAAAAATGTTGGTAAATTTCATTCATTACCCTCAATCAGTTCAGACCATTGCTTTCAATCAATCTGTGAAAATTTCTCATTCAATTATTTGTTTGCGTCATCACACAGAAGTCTTAAAGGGATAGTTCCCCCCAAAAAAACGAAAATTAGCCCATGAATAGCTCACCCTAAAACCGTCCTAGGCGTATATGACTTCTTTCTTTCAGATGAATCCAATCGGAGTTATATTAAAAATTGACTTTGATCTTCCAAGCTGTTTAATGGCAGTCAGCGGGTGTTGCAGTGCATCAGTCCAAAAGAAGTGAAATAAAGCGCATCCATCCATAATAGGGATGCTCCGATCAGGATTTTTGTAGCCGATACTGAGTACCGATTTCTTGTCATGGTGATCGGCTGATACTGACGCCGATTCTGATGCTTCAAGCTTTATATAGACGGTTTCAATGGGCGCACGCACCTGGCCCAAAGTTAACTTCCGGTCTGTGTTTGTTTATCAGTCTGGCTATGGCACCGGCTACTAACGCATTTAAAGATAAGGTGATGAGTAGACTGAAGTTGGGCTCAGGTGGTTGTGCTGTGGGATGTGTTTCCCATACATTTATTTATTTGTGGCACTCACCACAATATCAAAACTGACGGATTTTCCAAAAGGCTTGGTTGAATAAACATGAGCATGTACTGCACGTTTAAAAATTAAAACGAGGTGCGGGTGTTTTTATATCACTGTATTTCTGAAGGAAGACTATCTTTAGAAAATTTTCGATGTAATTTTCATTTAATTTTGCATGTTATATGCCTGATAAAGCAGCGTTTGTGAGCTCAGCGCTGCTTTGTGTACAGCTGTTACTGGGGAAACCTCTGTTTTTGTTCCGTCCTCCACGCTGTGACAACTCACAAAAGACTATTTTTAACCAAGCAGTGCGGAGAGCCGCTTCAGAAACGTGCTGCGGCTGGCCGGTATAAACACAAGCACTGACTAGAGCGGCCGCGATCAGCTCCGGTGGCCGTAGAGCCGTAACGCGCTGCAGACGTGTGCAATGAGGCACAGATCAGCTCTAACGTCACTGAATCTGCTGTTAAAAATGAACCATCTATTCATCATATCATCATGCTATGATGATATGATCATATCAATGTAATGCAAACATACATTTTTTATTGTTTCTCGAAACGTCATAGCATTTCCACACCGGCGATGACATGACTGCGGCGCCAAATCATTTATGTCCCCACGCATCATGTACGTCGGTTCCTGAAATCGGCCAAGTTGGTGAGTACCGATCGAGTCATAAAATATGGTTATCGGCCGATACTGATCTCCGGCCGATCAATCGGAGCATCCCTAATCCATAATAAAAAGTGTCTCACACGGTTCACACGGTGTGAACAAAAGCGTCCTGTAGCGAATCGATGAGTTTTGTAAGAAAAATATCCATATTCAAAACCTAATAATCACTTTAATCTAGCTTGCACCAACAGTTATACACAGAAGCAGCTCCGGGCTGATGACGTATGAGTTC